TGGTGTGATGCTGAGCACAGAGAAGTAAGAGGTCGTTGGTTTGGTTTCTTGGAAGGAGAGGACAGCCCCCGTCCAGGAGAAAGCCGGAGATGGACACCCCTCATAGGCCCAGTTAAACACACAGATCACTGTCACTGGCTGCCCAGGCTCTAAGGTATCTGGGATGTAGACATCTGGCTTCCAAGACAGGGCTGGGACAAAGAGAAAGACGATCCTAGTACTCCAGGGGGTGCCTCAGATCCCTCTCTGCTCAGCCCCGTGGTCTGTCCCCCTCGGTCCCTCCCCAGTGTGAGAGGTAGAGGTTTCCCACCGCATTCCATACCTGTCACATTCAGAAAGAACTGGTTCCTGAAACTACATTTCACGGAGTTTCCTCTCAGCACCCGAAAGAAGTACGCTGCCATGTCCTCTGTCCATGCATCTCTGATCACCAGGGAACAGCTGTAGTTGTGGGGATTCCCAATGACCTGGAATTGGCCCTGGGTTCCCATTCGCACCTCTTGGTTTGGTTTGTTTGTGGCCACTAGATGATTAGTCTTTTTGTTTCCCTTTTTGAACCAGGAGCCATAAGCGGGTGTATATTCGTTCCAGCCACCCTGGGGGTAGGAGACATTGCAGGGCATGAGGATGCACAGGCCCATCTGCACCTGTCAAAGATGGAGGCACTCCTGCTCTCCAGGATTTAGACTGTGTCAGCAGAAATGCAAATAGGCTGGGTCAGCAAGAATTCACAAAGCTTAACTGCAAACCACAGACTTCCTATTGAGTTGCCTAGGAGACGGGGAGGTGTGGGAGGGGCTCACAGCTGGCTAAAACATACATAATACATGTTTGGAGACAATGAAGTTGCTTAGTGCGTGCCTAAGCCCCAGAACTTTGTGTCTGGTTTCTGGTCGCCCACCTCCCCAGGCAGCAGCCCCTAGCTCAAGGTGTGCCCTGAGCAACTCGCCTCGCTGCACTCTCTTGGCCGGGCTGCGTGTGGCCCTGCCTGGGGGACTCCCGGCAGAGGCTACGTGTGGTCCTGCCTCCTGAGACCCCCAGGACGAAGAGCAAGGTGCCAATCCTCTGAGGTAGGTTAATGTGTTCCTTTTACAGAGCAGGAAACCGAGGAGTAGAGTAACTTGCTCAAACCCAGGCTCTTAATTGGAGATGGGGCTGAATTTTGAGACAATTCCGCCCATCCCCGTGCTCGCAGGACTCCCGTACACTCGCTGGTTTCCTGTTTATAGGGCTAACTGTTGACTCAGGAATCCTCCCTGAGGTCTCCCTCCCAAGAGAAGCCCTGGGCCCTCCAGGAGGATCGTCGCTTTTGGATCTTGATCTCTGGTACTCTGTGCTGCTTGTTGGTGGCCTCCCGGTCCTTAGGCTCCCAGGTCCTCCGCCAGTGCAAGCTGAGGGAGGCGAAATGGAGCTCCGGCTCCTCCCCCGAGGTGGGGTTGGCTGCAGCTGGGGACGGGTGGTCTGGGGGCTGTCTGGTGGGCACTCACCCTGGGAACCCTGAATGGAGGGGAGGACAGGGAGTGAAATTAAAAGTGGAGGCTGGGAGAGAGAAAAGGAGATTCACAAGCAAACCTAGAAAGTGAGCATTTAGTCTTTCATCTATTAATTTCACAAATATAGGCTGGGCACTCATTCATTCATTCATTCAATTATATTTGAGAGTAATATGCCTGGTCCTTGATGATCAGTTGCCAGTCTCATAAAATCCTCACAACAGTCCACGGGGAGAGCCAGCCCGTGGCTCACTCGGGAGAGTGCGGTGCTGATGACACCAAGGCCACGGGTTCGGATCCCATATAGGGATGGCCGGTTCGCTCACTGGCTGAGCGTGGTGCTGACAACACCAAGTCAAGGGTTGAGATCCCCTTACCGGTCATCTTAAAAAAAAAAAAAAAA